ATGTCTCCTTTGGCCAAAAAGAAGCTCCTCTCTCAAGTGTGTGAGTCCAACCCTTTCTCCTTTACACCTCTTTCTCTTCAGCCTCCACCACCCACAGCTACATCCTCAGTTCCTGTCATATCAGTGTCTGAAGGGGAAAAGGAGAAGAGAAAGAGTGAAGAGGAGGGACTAGGACAAAGGCACGGCATCCCAGAGGTAGCTCCTATATTCAGGCCATCAGTCATCCAGCATGCCCAGAGCAGCAAGCCTCACCAACAAGCCACAGGTGGCCCATCAGAGAGGAGCACTGCTGGGGAGCTTTCAGAGAGTTACAATTGCCGGACGAGCCATCATCCCCAGCCTCAAGTAAGCGCACCATGGCAGCCCTATCTCCCCCGAGCTCAGGATGCCTTGGAAAACTGTGGGGAGAAGCTACTCCAGGGCCCGGCTTCTCAGCCCCGGAATTACGCAAGTGACTGCTACTCTTCCCCTCATCTCCACAATCTGTATAGGCAAACGGAGAACTGTCTGAGTCAAGAGAGGATTCCTGGCTTTGTTAGTGCAGAGCGGCGAGAGCACTACACGAGGGAGCGTGAAGGCAGCCAGGGTTTCGTTTGTGGCACCCTGGAGCAAGAGGGCTTGGCCTACAGATCTCACTTCAGTGACAGGACTCAAACACACGGCGAGAGCAGAGAGGCCGAAGATGAGCCAAGAGACTTCACAGTTTCTAAACAACGCTGTCAGAGGGTTTCCTCTTTCTCTAAGCCTCCCTTCTGTAGTCTCTCATATTCCATCATGCACCAGGGTTTGGATTCTCACCCTAAAGCATGCAGAGTTCCTCCTATGACAATCTCTCCCCCCAAGCAGAACCCAGCAGAGGCATCACAATCGTTTCCCAGCCCCAAAGCTTCAGGTGAATCCTCCCTCACCAGCCCTAATCGACCCAGTAAAAGAAGTCTAGCAGAGCCCGAGAGCGAAGATGTCCCTGAAAGGAAAGTTCGTGTGGTTACACCAATCCACCCTGCTGGCACAATCCGACGTAGCGATCCAGAAGAGCTGAAACCAGCTGAGCCGGCCCATGCTGTTCACCTCAACAACCATCTTCCTGAGGGACACCCTACAACCACTTTTCCCCCACCTCATGCCGCACCCCTCTATGCTGGCATATACCCGCCTGGCAGCCTGGTTTCACCAGGGGCCCAGGACGGGCTCCAGCAGCATCCGGGTCTCCAGTACCTAAAAAGCCAGTCAGCAGTATCTCCTCTTGTGCCCCCTTTATTCCACTCCATGATGCTCCACAGGCAGCTGCTGGCCTCTAGCCCTAGTCCACACCACTTCTACAGGCACCCTGGTGGGGCAGCATTGTATGGGGACCTGTTGCACCATCTATACCCTCTCTCAACCCTCCCACCACCTCAGCTGTCCTCGGTACACCCCAGCACCAGACTGTGAGAAAGAGGAGACATTTATTTCCCACTCTCTTTCTTCATCCTCAGAAACTGTCTCAGCTTTTCTTTGTCTTTGTTTCTCTATCTCGGGGATTGTGGCTCAGTCAAAACAAAACACTGATTATATAACTTTGGCTGATAACTGACTGATAAATGCATCAGTCAGGTGGACTGAAAATTCCATTTTCTTTATTTTTTTTAAAAAATTGTTTATGCCTTTGTTTATATACTTTGCACTGTTCTTTATTTGTATCACCACTTACTGTATCTTTTTTGTTGTTGTCGTCGTATTCTTATTTGCACAATGCTCATGTGTATGTGCTCACAAATCAGTTTGCCGCTCTCAGTAACCATGAGTCAGGTTGTTGCTCTGGATGTGTGAAATGTTGAGGGCAACAGAGAAAAGCCATTTGTTTACTACATCTGAGGGCTAAACTTTGTTGCTTAAGAACACTACAAGTAACATGACAACGTAAATCAAATTCTTTATATAACTAGAGGTGCGTTCACGATTGCAAACCATGTTCAGCAGCTGTTTAGCGCATAATTACTCTTTAGGCAGCCAGTGGTGTTGTATCTGTTTATATGTCTCCACGCTGAGCTCTGTTGCCTGTTTGTGCCACAGTAAATCCACATGGACTCTTTAGAATAGACATTAACACTCACTGTGGTGCTGCATAACACGAATAGTTTAATCATAACAAAACATTTAGAGGTGCTGTGTATGACAGATGTACTGTAGACTCACTTGTTCCTCAGTTCAGGTTTTTTCTTTTATTAATAATCATGTATTTCAGTTCAAATACAAAATAAGCCGTTTTCATGTTCAGTCTGTTGACAAATTACTTTTTTTGTTAAGCATTGATTAAAAAGTCATTTAATTTTTTTTTTACTTTCTAAACTAAAAGTGATATGACCCCCTAAACCTTTTGTGATGAGTAGACTCTAGCGGCTTGTTTTTGTCTGCAGGACCAGCATAATGAAGCAGCTGTCTGCTGTGGAATGCTCACCACAAAAAAAAATCAGCATTTCATCTTTTTGTTCTTGACTTGAAAAGCTTTTTTGTTGGTGAACATATTCTTTTCTTCAGTACGCTGAAAAGACTCCCTGTATGATTTGATAGGAATGTTGTCACTTAGGATATTACTGCTTTGCAAATATCTGTGCCTTTCGCAGTGTTGGATTAGAGTTAGCACTACAGTTGTTAAGGTTTATCTTCTGTAGCAGGGTAGGAATGTCAATATTACTGTCACTCTTGTCTGAAACGAAGCGCACAGACACCCATGGAAAAACAATATGGCACACTTGGCTATCAGACACCAGACTTAATGTGTGAGGCACAGAATGGGACGTTTTTAAAATGTAAACAGTTAAGCTGTAAACCTAATGGTTAGTATCTGTGCTTAAATTATAAAGTGCCCCTATTGTGCTCATTTACAGGTTCATAACATATTTGGGGACCTATTTGAGTAAGTTTACACACTTTATTGATGAAAACCTTTTTTCTATACTCTTCCCAACCTCTGAAATGGTCCCCCTACTTATATAAACGGTGATATTGTTAGACAATGTCACTGTTATAATTCTAGCAGTTCTAAGCAATGGTTTAATAGCTTGAAAGTTACAGCTATTTTAAATTAGTCTCAGTGGGTTTGTGCTCTTTCTCTTGTCTGACAGCAGAAATAGAAAAATATGTAAATGTAAGCAGCTTTATTGGGAATTTTGCTGTAAAAATACAGTATGTGTAATTGCAGAGTACAGACAGAAGCAAAGGATGATAATGTTAGCCACACTACCCGTGCTCTGTACCAACAGTAAACACAAGAATTTCCCAATTATTCTACGATATAGCTGTCAAAAATAAAAGTAATTTGGGTTCTGGTTTAGCTCACAAGCGGCCATATTCCACAGTGGCCCTGGGTTCAACTCCGAAGGCAAAAAAGTCCATCCCCCCAAGAAATACTTAAAAAACTAACAAATAAAAGATGAATCTACTGGAATTCAGTTCTTTAGATGTAACTGAGATATGCAGCATTTTAAAGAAGTTGCAGCTGGTTGACTCTGGATTTAATTCATGCCACTGCTCATTATTCTTTGTCTGAGTGCGCACCAAACTAGCTGCTAAGGAGGCAATATGTCACAGTGTTACATTATGATGTAGACAAGTAAGTAAAGCCTGGACTGGCAAGGCAGTTCAGCAGCAGTGTTTTCTGTGTGAGGGAATAATTTTAAATATACAAAAGAAAAGCTATATAACAGATAAATAAATAAGGTGAAACACATAGGGGCACTTTAAGAAGTTTAAATTTTAAACACTTACGCTTTAACTTAAGTAAATCTGTTGACCTAGCTTAACTCTGTCAGCCAGTCGATTATACAAGAACCTGCAAGATTTACCGATCCTGACACAGGTCTGGTGTCTGTCACCCGCAGGGCGTGTGTGCTCTATGTGTTTTCTAGCAGTGATGAAAAGGTACCAGACTCCATAAAATATGCCTACCATGCTCCATAGCCTGAGGTGGAAAGACAACACCTGTGCCGGCTTTTACAACCACTATATAATTGCAATCCAGGATAGTCGAAATACGCAGTGAACATGTCTGGTGTTTCAAAAGAAGAAAAAAAAATCTGTAAAACGTCTGTAAAGTTTTACCGAATACTTAGATAAAGACATTCATTTCTGATTAAGTACTGTACATTGCTGTGTGTAGGTAAAACTGGCATTAGTGCTGGCTCCTGTACAGAACATTCATACGGGATCAATTCATGGCAACCCCTCCTTCTCGTCTTATTTTGTGTAAATAGCACTGTAGATAGTACTGCGTGGTTGTTATCATATAAACTGTTATAATCTGTATATAGTATAAAAACAGTATAAAAGTTGGTTACACAATCTAGCCGTGTCCTTGTTTGCTCTGTTTCAAGGTCACCGTGATCACGTTAAATTCAAACACTACAATTTAAGAATTAGGATATTGTTTATTTGTTGTCGTTTCACTTTTTTTTCCATGTCGTTTCCATTAATGTGCATCCTGAAAGTGTTTTTGATACAGCAGCCATCTGTTTACCAATCAACCCAGCTGGCAGGCAAGACAAAAAAATACACATTTTGTATTATATGACCTCCTGTATATTTAATTAAAGTATTTTACTATCTATATGTTTCTTCAGTTGTGTTCTTTAACTGAACTGCAGATAAATAGCAAGGGTTGGATAAACTGGTATTTAATGTCAGTGTGCTAACATCAAAGCAATGCTTCCCCCCCTCAGTAAATGCAGTGTGAATGGGGTTTTATTATTGTAATACCATTATCTGGCTATGAGATTCCATCCGCCTTAATCTTCACAACAGGCTACCTCTGGGCTCAATGCCAGAGAAGCCTCTTCAGTATTTGCTGCAGTAGAGAAATGTGCCAGTGCATGTATCTCTATGGGATGTGTACTAGGTTGCAATAAAAGCTATGCTTTGACTTTTATTGCCACCCCCTGGTAAACCTTTAACATGAAAAATATTCAGTAATACTTCCAAGCTCAGCAAAAATAAAGCAGCCTCACCAGGGTGGAATGTAGGCCGTTTTATTGCAGATCAGCAATCATAAAAAACACGGTGAGCTTCCAAGACAACAGAGTGAGAAGAAAATTGCACCTTTTGAGAAACATTAACTACAATATTTTTTTTAAACATTGCACTATACGCAAATTACACTGCAGTGGGACATGATTAATGAATAGCTAGGTTGCAATACATAAAATTAAGTGCCACTAAATGTCTAAATAATTAACATGCTAAACAACAAACATTGAGATCAGAGGACAATACTAATGTAAAAAACTACAAAATATTTTGATCAAAAACAGTAAAAAAAAACAAAACAAAACTACAAATTCAAGATGCTGTTTTCATTTATATAAACTGATTATAAATTCATAAAATGAAAGCAAATTTGGCTCCGTTATAAGATGATATATTTTCATGCAATTAGTTTCACCAGGGCTACACAGTCAGTTGTCCAAAATAACACAGCTTTCAGAGTACCTGCTAGTGGTACTTCTATGCATTTCTCAAGCATACCTAGTGTACCTGAAAATGGCCAAGATTTTGATGGGGGGGGGAAATGTAGGATGTGCAATGTAATTATTTTGATAATCACGGGGTCTGAGACATAACCACTGTTCTCATCAGCGAAAACTGATGGTGTGCTGTTCTAGCCTCAAACCCTCTCTTATGTTTCCAAGTGTATACAGTACAAGATCAAAGTGACTAATGCATCAGTAATACACATCAAACAAAAAGCATTTGACACACTGCTAAAAATCAAGCTGCAGCGCTTTCTGTACTCTTCTCTCCCTTTTTCCCTTTCAAGGCTTAAACTAAACCCGTCTGTAATCCACCTCCTCCTAAATCTACATCTTCCCCTCTAAATTAAACAGAGTATGGAGGGTGAGATTTAAGAAAACAGGGACTGCAGCTTTCACTATAATGCTTCAACTAGATTGTGAAGGGAGCAAAGTCTAATGTTTTGCACACTGTGTGTAATTATGACGACCATTCTTCAACACAATATCACTAAGTGGCTGAGATATTTAGTGGCTGGCAGTACTGGATATGTTCAAAACACACACACAAGGGCATTCATTATTTCAGCTACTCAAAAGACTCATTCATTCAATAATGTTTATAGCATACATTGGCTGTAGTGTTAAATTATGTTGGACATACTGTGTAGCCACTGAAAACCAAGGTCACACTATTATTAAGACCTTGGGGGAATGTCACATTAGTGCCTGCAATTGCTCTTAAAATTCTGTTCCTTAAATTCAGCTATAGTGGTCATAAAGTCATCACAGTAAGTAGAATAAGTCAATAGTTCCAAAAGGAATGACTCGTCCTCGGTCGGCCAATGGATCAATTCCAATTTGGGCGCCTTTTCAAAAGCTCTTTCTTCAATCCATGTTCCAGTGGCAGAGCAAAGAAATAAGCCTTTCCATTTTAGTGCGATTGATGATGGTGGTAGTGGTGTATAAGCCAGCATTCAGCTTTTAATTTCATCTGTGGGTTAGCTGCACATGGAAGGTTTAGAAAGGGAAAGAGGAGCAGGAAATTTATAGACATAGTCCTGATATTGCAAACTAAGGTGTAAACTCAAACGTGGCGTCATCACCTACCCACCCTTTATGGCAAACAACCGTTACGCATTTTTGGAACTATGCTTATGTGTTTCATTGTTGAGTAAGATTTGTGCAGTCAGTATGAAGCTGGAGCTCGGGCTGAAGACTGTCCAAAGGTAAAAACTACCTACGCTCACATCTAAAGTTAAAATATTAACTAACACTCGTTTTGCGCTGGCGTGACTTCTCTGAGCTGTGTCATGCCCATTCCAGTGAGTCACTGCTTCTGACATTACTCCCCTTTTAACCTTATTGTTTTATTTAAAATATTTGATTGAGAGAAATGTGCAGGTAAACACATTTATTACCTATCGAGAAAAATCGTCTTTGCATTTTCAGCTTTATAACCTTCCTAATCTAAACTAAATGTCCTGGCTCAAGCTCCTTCCTGTATATATGAGAGTAGTATTGAATTTTTCCCACCAAACTGTCAGCAAATCACATTTCCCAAATGATGAAGTATTCTATTAAGGACCACACCAACAGTCAAGCCCAAATATCATCGCCGATCATGACGAGTTATCATCACTCCTCAGTTAGTTCTATAGTGCTATATTTGATTTTAGCAGCGTTACCCAGCTCGGTTGATAAAGTGTGGCAGGTATCTGTATTAGTAGTAAGGTTACCTCACTGTAGATCTGATCTAAGGTTGGGGTTACAACGCTTTAAGGTTCATCCTCTCTCTGAAAGACTTCCTCAGTTTGCTCCGTGGTGCGGGAACAGGACCAGGACCATCAGTGGCTCTCACAAAGCCATGATCAGCTGTGGCCTCAGGGGTTTGGGTGTGGTGGTTTTGGTAGTCCAGCTGTTGGAGGGGGGGCTGGGGCTGACCTTGTGGGTGTACATTGAGCACGCCCAGAGGAGCATTTTTTCGACTTGAGGCGGTGGCTCCTCCAGCATTATTCCGCTGGAGCTGCTGGATGATGGCAGAAAACTTGGCATCCAGAGATGGTCTGCCTGTTTTGGACCTTGTGATTGGACGTGAAGTGCTAGAATTCTCTTTCTCCTGGTATGAGGGAGGAGGGTGCTGATGAAGAGAGGCAGGGAGAGGAGGTCTGGCTGGGCGGGTGGGAGCAACATAAGGCTCTCTGTCAGGGGGAGGAGGTGGAGCGCGTCGCTTCTTGCTGCTGTTGGTAGTACAGCTGCTGTTGCTGGGATTGGGGCTCGAACAAGGGGTGGAGGTTTTGCTCTGGGACAGAATACCCTTCTGCACTACCACTGAATGGGAACCATCAAACAGACTGGACCAGTTAGGTGCCTCTTTCTCCTCTTCATGGCCAATAAGGAAGTGCCCATCTGTCTCCTCAATTTTATTGTGGATAATATCAGTGATGCTCTCAAACTTGCCTGGTGAATTTATACCTGTAAGGGAAATAAATAAACACCAAAATCAAGTGTTTTCCCTGATGTACTATTAAAATACAATAAAGCATCACAAAGGCTCAGATTGCAGCATTATATTTTGCTTGAAAAAGCATCTTATTAACATGCATCACCACTGAAAATTAATGTATTATGTGTATTCTTTTTCAGTGAGTGTCTTATTTGCTGTGAGCACTCGCATTACACCTTCTTAAAATGAATATGTGTAAATATAAATCCTGTTAAATCCTCATCATCAAACAGTCGGCAAAATATTAACCTCCGTCTAACTCACTTCAGTGACTCTTTCCAATTACTCTACTCACTCAGGTCGTTGTAAACAGAGTCTGCTTGCTTAGAGAGAAAAAGTGATGGTTTCCGTGGAGATGCGACTTCGATCTTCATTAGCTGGTCACAGCAGTGCACCCACTGGCCTGGTCATAAACAAGGATAGGCATGAGATAATAAGACCTATACCATCTGTTCTTAAAAATTTAGCTAAGTGTATGTGCAACCACTTTTCCTGCGCAGACTAGTCCACACACCCCAGTTTCTCTTTTATAATGGCAAACACACACGAAACCCTTTACATAAACATGTGTTTTCATATAGAAATGCTTGTGGTGCATGGTCACATAACACTCACTCTGATCATAATGGTGCTGGTGGAGGGCTTCCACCCAGTCCTCCAGCGCTTCCCTGGTGTCTGTGGTGAAGACGATGGACTGCGATCCCTCTGGTGAAGGGTTAATGATGGACAGGCTCCTAGATTTGTGGCCTGCTGATTCCTTCTCCAACACTCGGATTCGGGTGTCCTGCACAAAAAAAGCAAAAGTAACCTATTACAAGCTGAAAATCACTAACAGAATACAAATCACACCTCTGTGCGAGTTAGTGCATTAGAAATTACATCGCTGATATTGCAGAAGAAAATTAATTCCACAGCAAAATGCCAAAGCTCCAAGTCGTATCGCGGTGAGTAATTTGGTATCTTGTATTTTGGTTACTCTGCAAATGTTAGGGAAAAGGTGAATTGAGATTTAAATCAATAACAATGAATCTGATGTTTAACTTCTCTTTCCAGACAGCACAATTGAAACAGATAATGAAGTTTAACAGGGGTAACCACAAAGCCTTATCTTATATAGAGTTTTAGAAAAGTTTGTTCTTCCAGTCATGTGTTATAAAATGATGCAACAGAACAAGAAATTGCTAACATTAATGTTTATCAAGTAATTCAAGACTTTTCTTAGCGTCTCTTACCTTATTAATGGGTACTTTGAGAATGGGTTGTATTTTAGCATCAATTTCTTCTGGAGTGAAGAAACAAGACAAAAAGCCGGCACTCAGCACGCAGTAAAGACTGCAGCAGCGGCTCATGCCTTCCACACTTTGCTGTAAATCAGCAGAATACAAATAAATACTAAGACACTAGAGAATCAATGATGGAGCTTATTGCTATCATTACAAAATAACAGTGAACACACCTTCTGGCTCAGGTGACCGGCCATCATGGTCTGTGTCATACAGGCAGGCTGAGCCACTAACCGGCAGCAGAGGTTACCATAAAGTGGAAGCCAAGAGGACCACTCGGCTGTAAGGACGATGAAAAGCAACCAGAAAAGTGTAATAAGTTACCTTGTACTATATGGAAAAAGTAAAGTTAATTTAAAAATAATTCAGTTCTAAAAAGAACATATGTTATTACAACTCATACATTCTCCTGTAACAAAAGCCCCAGTGTTTCCCCTCAGCCTCCCAGCAGATGCAGCTACGGTATCATTTTGAAACTCCTCAGTGACAACGTTCTTGATTTATTGTGCTCATAAGAGCTTCAGAAAACTTGGCCTCTGACCTCAACCTTGAGGTCAAACTCTTACATCGCCTGGTTCTCAAATTATTGCACTCACAAACTTAGGCGTCCATGCAACATCAGCCTTTTATAAATGAAGGGTAAAAACCCCATATGTGAACTGTGCAAACTTGTACCAAAACCTAGTACAAGCTCACAGCAATAGTCATCAAGTAACTTTGTATGGTAAGGTAAAATTCCTAAAATATATACAGAGAATCCCAGTGATTAGATGATCCCCTATGAGCAAGCACATGGCACATAGTGAGGAGGAAGAACTTCTTTTTAACAGAAAGACAACCAGGATCAAGGCAGGGCAGCAATGCAGGAGGGGCAGAAACCTGCCCCTCCTGCCCTAACTTTCCATTTCATCACTCTTCCTTTTGTTTAAATGGAGGTTTAGATTTAAGGGATGTTAAAAAATATTTATCATTACTATTCCAGAATGAAATCAGGAGTTAAAAAGCATAAGCATTTCATATCCCCAGATATAAAATGGTGTGTTTTGCTTCTTACCATCTTGGAGGACAATAAGGGAGTGAGACTGAAAGCTGCCTTCAGCCTCGGGCAGACACAGCGTTGTGTAGGCCAACAGGCTGTATTTGGCTCCACTGTTACAAGTACAAGACACATATGAACATTTTAGCAGTCTTTAAGTAGAGCACGCTGACTTTTCAGGGGAAATATTGCCAAGTTTAAATTTGACAATAACAGTAAAGATAATGAAGACAATTCAACTTATAAAATGTACACATAACCTATATTTTTGTAAATTATATCTCAGTGAACAGGTGATACTTGAGATACTTTCAGCTGAGAAATCCAAATTAATAATCTACATGGTTTAAACTATGCTTTTCTGCTCATTTTAATAAAATTCTTATTTTTATTATGACAAAAAAATAAATCATGATTACTTAAAAGCTAAACACGGGAACTGGGTTTGTTTTCAAAACCCACACAAGATCTGGCCCAACAGTCCTGGTTCCACTAACAAGTCATTGTAGAGTTATTGTAAAAAATCTTGAGCCAAGAGCCTATAAAGTATTTTATGACAGCACAATACATACGACGGTATTGGGTTGTGCTGTAGGAAGGTGTCAGGGTCTGGAGTGTCCAGCAGAGAGCAGAGCTTCCTCCCAGAGCTCTTTCCAAAGGAGTTGCGGAGCTTCTTTGCCAGTTTCTTTGGCGTGTTTACCAGTGTGAGCTCCTCCTCTAGGGCACAGCTCCACAACTCCACCTTCAGCTCAAACTGAGGAACTGCTTCTTTACTAAGGGTGGGGATTTTAATAAGAGCATAACCATTAAAACATATTAACAAACCAGGGCTGAAGCGACACAATATACATTATACATATACTAGATCAAAATTTCATTAAATACTTTTAAATTTCCCTTATATATAAATCTATAAAATAGACATACATCCACTTAAAGGGTGGAGTGCAGCAGTTCAGAGAGTACTACTTTGCATATTACATAAGCACAAAAACACTTACAAGATGGTAATTCCCTCAAAGCAGATGTCAGTGACTGATCTATCCACCACCACCATTTCAGTGTCAAACACTTCTGAGCCAATCTGCATCAGACAGAACACAGCCACCCTGCGAGAACCTAACAAATGTCATGGATGTACAGAATGCATTAGTACAGCCAGCATGTACAAAAATTACAGGAGGCAAAGCTGAACATGAGGCATGAAAGATAACAAAGAGCAAACTTACTCCCTCTGTTGTTAAAGTGGTCTGAGTCCCTCCACATCAAAGGTATGCGCAGCCCTACGTTTGCAGAAAGTTAATTAAAAAGAAAGGCTCTTAAAAATTAACTCAGGGAGCAAAATGTTGCAACTAAATGTAATCGTTGCATAGTTATAGATGTGCGGTGCTGATTTATTCTGAATAAAAGATGAGCAATCTTACCTGACAAAGCAATTGTTCCATTACAGGGCAAACGGGCACCTGAAATTAGATCTGTAGGTCTGGAATAAAATTTGGAATTTACCATTACAATAGATCAAAATGTGTGTAATGTATTTAATTTAACAAAACAAATAAAGTGTATATGCATTTACAAAAAAGGATGGAATCACTGCATGATTAAGATTTTAGACACATCTAACAAGACTTCCTGGATTTTGTTATTTTTTAAAATACATTCCATGTCCCTATTGCCAGTCTTGGCAGCCGGGG